CTACCTCATACCACGAACCTCTTCCCTTTCTATCCATCTTAACTCCCTAAAGGGCTCACTCACAACTCTTAGAGCACTTGCTGGGACCTTGGCTGGCTAGAGCTGCCAAAGCCCCATAGATTGGAGGAGGGGATCCAGTTATCCCCATTTTACAGATTGACAAACCAAGGCAGCAAAGACTGTGTGTCACACTGCTAGCTAACGGCAGAGGCACTGTGCTCTTCTTTTTTAAAAAATATATTCTATTGATTTTTTAGAGAGGAAGGGAGAGGGATAGAGAGCTAGAAACATGGATGAGAGAGAAACACTGATCAGCTGCCTCCTGCACACCCCCCCACGGGGGATGTGCCTGCAACCAAGGTACACGCCCTTGACTGGAATCCAACCTAGGACTCCTCAGTCCGCAGGCCGACGCTCTAGCCACTGAGCCAAACCGGTCAGGGCATTGTGCTCTTGAGAAAAACACACACACACAAAAACCCACCCCTGCAGAGTCACTATTTACAATAATCTTGAGGACTGGCCCCCTGAGGCCTGGGGAATCCCCTCACTCCCACCAGTTCCTCTTTGAGTATCCATCCCGCTGGCACAGGAAAGAACCAGTACACCCACCCTCACACCCAACTAGGCCTAGGAGAGACCTCCTCGGAGTCATAACCTTTGACGGGGAAAGCACCCTCACCCTTCCCCTGCCCGGCACTTAACAGTGTCATTGCTCACTTGCTATCACCTTCCGCATTCTGAGATGGGGAAACCGAGGGTCAAAGATGAGACATCAGTGCTCTAGCCCGTTTGGCTCAGTGGATAGAGCGTCTGCCTGCGGACTGAAGGGCACAAGCCCGGGTTGCAGGCTCGATCCCCAGTAGAGGGTGGGCAGGAGGCAGCCAATCAATGATTCTCTCTCATCATTGATGTTTCTCTTTCTCTCCCCCTTCCTCTCTGAAATCAATAAAAAAAATATTTTTAAAAGGAAGACATGAGTAACCCATGGTCAAAGCCAGTAGGTAGCGAGGATGGGTCTCGAACCCGGGTCTCTCTGGTTCTAGCGCCGCCTCTTTCTTTCTATTAGGCCACGCCAGGCTCTCCTGCACCGCCAGGTAAACCACCTGGAGCCTCTTCCTGGCTGGGTTACTTCGGGAAAGTAACTTCACCTCTCTGGACACCCCCCAAGGTCAGACGCTGTGCTTTCGGGGAAGAAATCAGTATGTAAAAGAGACGCAAACGAAACGCCAGTTCGCGGGCGCCAGCGCAGTCCTTTCCCGGAGCTCGGGGCTTTCTAATGAGAGGGTGTGTCGCCGGCCGCCGGGACCTGCGCAGCAAGCCCCCGGCCGCGAGCAGAAGCGAAACCTCCACACCCTCCAGCCTCCTCCGCTGGCTT